GTTGTATTCATCAGCAATATGATTAATGGTAGACAGGGTGTCATTAAAAAACGAAAAATCGTTTAAATCAAATATTTAAAAAATCCAAATTTGTTGTTTGTTTTATAAGGCTGTTGTTTTTTTTATATTATTAGTGTAGATTTTGTGTAACACCCTGTATTACTGGCCTAAAGCTAACCGAAGAATATTCTTTACTTTCCTTAAATATAAACTTCAAGCCGGGGGCTGAGTCATCATGTAAAGGTGTTTTTGTACATCTTTATATGTATATCTGTATATCTGTATATGTATATCTGTATATCTGTATATCTGTATATCTGTTTATCTGTATAGTGTATATGTATATCTATATATCTGTATCTCTATAGTGTATATGTATATCTGTTTATCTGTATAGTGTATATGTATATCTGTATCTGTATCTGTATCTGTATAGTGTATATGATATCTGTGTATCTGTATAGTGTATATGTATATCTGTGTATCTGTATAGTGTATATGTATATCTGTATATCAGTATATGTATAGTGTATATGTATATCTATATATCTGTATCTCTATAGTGTATATGTATATCTATATCTGTATAATGTAAATGTATATCTGTATCTGTATCTGTATAGTGTATATGATATCTGTTTATCTGTATAGTGTATATGTACATCTGTATATCAGTATCTGTATAGTGTATATGTATATCTATATATCTGTATCTCTATAGTGTATATCTATATATCTGTATCTATAGTGTATATGTATATCTGTTTATCTGTATAGTGTATATGTATATATGTTTATCTGTTTATCTGTAAGGACACCAATAAATCTAGGAATTAGCTGAAGATTATGAGATAGATAGATAGATACACTAAGCTAAGATATAAATTTAAAATTTTATTTCAGAATCGATTTTTGTCTTCATAATTCAATTACATTCATTGCTCAATGGAGGGGGGGGGGGTTCAGTGAAAGGGGTAGCGAAAGAGCAAGATTAAAGAAAAATATCAGATTGAAATGGAAAAAATAAAATGAAAAGAAAGGATGCTGGGAGAGAGTAGGAGTAAAGAAGATTTTCTTTGAGAAAAATAAAAATGTGTGAAAATGTTGTTTTGCACTTGAAGGTTAAATTTTGAGTATTTTGTAAAATATTTTTCAAATTCCTTCAACCCGACTTGTCTTATTCTTGCCTGTCTGTCTGCTTGTCTGCCTGTCTATCAAAGGTTGTCCTTGTTATCTAGTTACAGGGTGTCTAACAAAAAGGGTGAAAATAGACCAATTAAGTTTTTCGATTTTATTACGAACATTTTTTGACAAAAAAATGGAGCAAAGTTTAATGTAGATTTTTTAAAGCGTAATTTCAAGTAAACCTCCATGTAAAGATGGCAATGCAATGCAAAATTGACTTGCGCATTTCTAGTTTATAAAAGCAATGGAGAAACTCGCAGAAATAAACACTTTTCTAGTTAGAAAACGACAATATCTTCTTTACTTTTGATCAGATTGAGGTTTTTACCGTTGTACATCTTTGCATGGAGAGTCACTTGACATTACGTTAACAGTCCCTTTTAGTTTGAAACAACCCTGTTGTTGACCTCACTGTCCGTGTTTCAGCTTGTCTATCAATGGGTAAATATTTTAGAACATATTCTTTAAAATGTCTTTAAATTGAAAAATGTAAAACACGTCAATTGTTTGCAATTTCTAACTTGATGTGCTTTAAAAAAACAGAGGTCTGATTAAAAAGCTATAATATCTTTTTTAGAAGTAAAAATACCAAAAAGTGCAGTCTAGTTGATGCGGTTAAAATGCATTTAGGGGGGGTAGGGAGGCAGAGGGGGTCTTG